CCCCCCTCCCCCCACCTCCTGCCCTCACCTCCTCCCCTCACCTCCTCCCCTCACCTCCTGCCCTCACCTCCTGCCCTCACCTCCTCTCTCTGTCTTTCCAGGAACTAAGCTCTGACTGTCCAGGAGACCAGGGGAGGAGAAGTAACCAGGACAGTCCTCCTCACCAGCTCCTCTTCAGTCACCTCCCACTTCACTCCCAACTCCAGGTGAGTGACATTTCTCTTCTCTGATTTTCTCCACGTCGTTCATTTTATTTCCGCTGCTCAGATTGTTTTTTCTTACGTCTAATTATTTTTACCTTCTCATTTCAAGGTTCGCTCTCCTTTCCCGATGATTCCCATCGGAGGAATCCAGATGGTTCACTCCGTCCCCCCGTCTGTCACTGCCCCTCTGTCCCAACAGGGGGAGCTGTACACACCATCCCGTCTGTCACTGCAAAAAAGCACATCGGAGGAGTCGACCACCAGCGAGGCTGCTCCTCCGCCACATTTCTCCTCCTTCATGGAGAGGGTAGGACGACCAAGAGGAGGAGGGGAGTGGATGAGGGAGTCACCGTCTCCTCAGGTGTCCTCGCCAGTCAAGGCAGAAGGTGAAGTCAGGCAGGAGCAGGAGGAGGGCGTCCAGACCTGCACCAAAGCCATCGCCTCACTCTGCATTGACTCTGGGGAGTCCACGGAGAGAGGAGCGAGGGGGGAGGGAGGAGGAGAAGGAAAGGACAAGGGAGAACCTCCCCCTTCTGCACCTCCTCCTGAATCCAGACTCCACCGCCTCGGCTCTCCCTCTGTCTCCATGTCTTCACCGTTGCCTCCTCCTGGGATTCAGCACTTTAGCGGCCTGGACCTCAGGCCTCCTCACCCTGCCTCTCCTCACTCCTCCTCCTCCTCCTCCTCACCTCAGCCTCCACCCAGCCCGCAGCAGACACCAGGGAGTAAACCTGCACAGGTGGAGTCAGAAAACACAAGGAGGAGCAAAGAGGAGTCATAGTGGGAGCAGAGCAGGAGAAACTGAGATTTTTGAAATTCTGTTTACTTTTGGGATGAAAAGAAGGGAAGACGTGAAAAAAAAAAAGATTTTTGCACATTTACACTTTTTATTAAAGTGGGTGAGGATTTCTCCCCCGCTCTCACCCTCGTCTACATCATCAGACGTCATTGTCCAAACTCAAACCTCAGACTCAGCAGAGGCTGTGAACACACACACACACACACACACACACCCATGACCAAGACATCCAGCCCTCCCCCACCCTCCCCCGTCCTCACCTGAAGGTGATGGCCATTATCAATAACCAATAATCAATAATAATAATGGAGGACATTAATCGGTACCGACACGTCGTCGACTCGTGGCCTTTTGTTTTTCTCCTTCTTTCCTGATAAGCCAATAACAGCAGGACGTTTAACTGTAAATAAATAAAAAAATCTTTTTCTCTTTTTTCATATGGTCTTTGTAATGACCCTAGCGACACCTTAATGTTCTGGACAGTGATGTGAAGTTCATGGACTTGTCTTTTCTGTACGGTTGCACTAAAACATATTTTTATAGGAGTGACTTTTTTTTAAACGGCTTTTTTTGTGTACAGCAGCGATTCTATAAAAACTATTTATTATTGTTACTTTGTTTCATAAACTGTTGGTTTTTTTCTCAAATTTTGTGGAAAAATGTCTTTTTCTATGTAAAAGCATGGGGAAGTTTTTTTTTAATCGCAAACAGTAGGGGGCGATGATACAGTACGTACACTGTAATATGGCTTTTCACATTCACTCTATTTATATATATATATATACATACACACATATGCGCCCTCTGCTGGATGTTATACACATAGAAGTAAGATTTACCCAAATATTTACTCTGCGTATTCGATCCTGCTATCGTTCTGTCTGGCTAGCTTCTTTTATCTCTATTTCACTGTCGCCACCTAGTGTTCTGCCTGTGCACCAATTCAGGTGTGTTATTTAGCATCCGAACGCCTCCAGCGGAGCCAAAGTTTACGTTAACATTCGTTCGTTAATGCCCTTCGTTCGAGTGTCGCAGCCTCATTATGAGCAAACAGCAGGTAACGGTTGAAGTCGGAGGAAACGAACAGAATCCTTTGTTTCGTCATCTTTGTTGTAGCAGCAGCAGCAGCAGTGTTAGCATTAGCTCAGATTTTAGCGTGTTTAGCTGTTTTATTTCATAGGTAGTTTAACTAAATGTAAAGAAGCAGCAAACAACAAACTGCAGAAGGCAGTTTATAAAAACAACATAGGGGTCGCAGACTGTGTGCGGGCCACACGAGTTTTACTGATTAAAGGAGAACGAAGGAGTCGGACTGAAAGAGCGACAAAACCCTGTCACGACTCAAACATCTTCAAACCCGGAGCTCAGGCTGAGACTGAAATTAGCTGCGTCAGCGTTTCTGCTGCTGCTGCTGCTGCTGCTGCTGCTGCTCAGTTCCACTTTTCTTTTTTTTTTCAGCCTTAAACGTCATTTCCTGCACTGCAGAATTCTGCTCCGATCTGCAGCAGTTCCGGGTCGCCCCACTTCCTGTCACCACTTCCTGTCAGACATTTGAAGAGGAAACTAAAACATTCCACGTCTGTGTAAATGAGCGGTGGATTCTGATTGGTCCGTGATATTCACACCGTTGCTGTCACAAACGCACCTTTAGTTTCAAGAGAGAAAGAGTCGTTAGGGAAGACGACGAGGAGCTGACGTAGAAACTCTTCTCAGTAATATATATATATATATATACGTATGTATACATATGTATATATACATATATGTATATATACATATGTATATATATGTATGTATACATATGTATGTATACATATATGTATATATACATATGTATATATATGTATGTATACATATATGTATACATACATATGTATACATACATATATATACATATGTATATATACATATATGTATATATACGTATGTATATATACGTATGTATATATATACATGTATACATATATGTATACATGTATATATATACATACGTATATATACATATATGTATATATACGTATGTATACATATATGTATATATCCATATATGTATACAGGTTCCTGACACAACTCAAAGTCCAAAGATTAATTTGATTTCAACATTAAATTATTTTCTCAGAACTGAATGTATTTTTGAGATTTGAAGTAAAGTCAGAATCTCCCCAACCAGTGGTTCAGGAGTCTGGAACTTCTGCCTCGTCTTCTTCGTCTAAGCCCCGCCCCCTCCTCTATTCTACAATAAAGCAATATGTCACTACAGCTCTGCACCAGCAGGGGGAGTGTTTGCTTGCTGCCAAACAACAATAACAAAAGTTTAAAGGAGGAGATGGGGGAGGGGCTGGGGAGGGGGCGGGGTTTGACAGAGTGCAACTGAGGGTGTGTGTGTGTGTGTGTAGTGGACCTGTGGAACTCTGTTCAAGTAGGTTAGTGATGAAGATGAAGATGGAGATGGTGATGATGATGGTGATGATGATGAAGACGTCTTTTAAAAAAAACTTTTTCTGGTTCAAAAACATCAAAGCACAAGTTGTTGTATAAAAACATGTAAATGTGTGTAAACACCTGTCGTCGTGGACTTTTGTAAAAATCTCTGAACAGGAAGTGGAAACAAAACCATCGATGTTTGGAAATAAAATGGAATTCTACAGTCTGCATCTGTCTGTCTGTCTGTCTGTCTGTCTGTCTGTCTGTCCATCCGTCTGTCCGTCAGGAGGACGTTTCCTCCTGATCAGAGGAACTATTTTAGGAATCGGTTCTGTGAAGAACGTTCCTTTGATCAGAGAGTTGACAAGATCTGTGTTTAATTTTAACAACAAAGATCGGACTGGTCCACCAACGACCACCTCCTTCTCCTCCTTCTCCTTCTCCTTCATCTTCTTCTTCACTCTGCTCTCTCTCTCCTGTGTTTTCTACTCCCGCTCTAACGTGGTGTTTTTCACCAACAGACTGTTTGTCAAACTTAGCAAACGTTAACTAACTAGCTAACTAACGTTAGCTACAACAGTCCTGGTACAGACTCCAGAGCTAACGTTAGCTACAACAGTCGGGGTAAAGCTACCAGAGCAAACGTTAGCTACAACAGTCCTGGTACAGACTCCAGAGCTAACGTTAGCTACAACAGTCCGGGTACAGACACCAGAGCTAACGTTAGCTCCAACAGTCCTGGTACAGACCCCAGAGCTAACGTTAGCTACAACAGTCGGGGTAAAGCTACCAGAGCAAACGTTAGCTACAACAGTCCTGGTACAGACTCCAGAGCTAACGTTAGCTACAACAGTCCTCTGGTAGTGACCCAGACACCAGTGACACATGAACAATGCAGACCAGAGGTGGACACCGACCCACAGCCCAGACAGTGGGACATCCACAATAGTCCAAATACATGTATATGAATCTACATTTACCAAAGGGACAAAGACGGGTTTTCCAGAAATACAATGAGGACAAGCACAAACTGACCGCAACCAAAACGTCCAAAACTGTGGAGACGGACCGTCCAAATTGTTGAATGTTTCCGTTCCATAAACCCTTTAAGGTGAACACTAAGTTCCTGAGAGACTGGTCCACTGGTGGACATTTAGTGTTACTACAGCTACACTTTGTTTCACACACTCACTGCGGTGACAGCACAGCGACGGCCGTCAAGGATAGAATAAGAAAAAATGGCGCCTCCTACCATGTTGAAGACCTTCAGGACGACCAGTCTGTAAACGAACCGCCCACATCGACACAGCGTTACCTCCAATCATCACCGACGTCATAAAGGGAACGACCGTTGGTAAAAAACGACGTCCAATCCTAAGTATTTGCTCGGAGCTAAGAACACGACTACGATGAGTTTAACGAAGGAAATCTGAGCTGAGAATCGAATCAGTTTTATAATAGACTGTGAAGAAAAACGGAAACGCTCGAACAAAAGACTTTCTAGAGTTCTAAAATATCTATATCGGAGAACGTGGCCATAGCGACCAAAACCGGAAACTCAGAGTTCCCTCTAATACGGAGTTAACTAACTCTGAGTTAGTACTAAGACCACTTAAAGAACCGGACCCTGAAGACCGTGATTCACGGACCAAAAACACTCAGTGAAGACAGAAGGTGTTCTTCCTCTTCCACCCAGTGAAGGCTAAGCTACTTGGCTAACGTTAATCCACGGAGTCCAACCGCCCAGAGCAGGAAACACAAGTCCAAAAGTCTCTCACCGTTGTCTCTCGGTCATTCATCTGGACCACGTCGAGCCGCCGCCATTAAAGGACGACGTCGTCACCTGGGGCTAACGCGCCGAACTCTCCTCGGCTCATCTCGGCTCATCTCGCTCCTAACCTTTTCGCGCCTTGTGAGGCTCCAGAAACAGCGCCTTTTCAGCAGCAGTTGCCAGTTGTTGACAATAACAATCAATTATCAGCGATTAATCGGTGACGGAATGGCTATCTGAAGTGCTAACGGACCGTATCATGTGCGCAGCGGTGCACCTCCGCCACAAGGGGTCACTGTTGTAACGGTCAAAGGCCTTGTGTGTAAAAATATATAAATACGATTTAGTTTATTTAATGGTGTTTGAGTTTGTCCAATTTGCACATCCACAAGTGTTAACCACTGCACACTGTAAATACTGAAAAGACTTCTGTTGATTCTTGTGTATATTTTGTTATTTTATTCCTGTGTATATTTTGTTATTTTATTCCTGTGTATATTTTGGACAGCAAAGTAAAATTTTCATTGTACAGGGAAACCTGCTTTCCTTACTGTACACATGACAATAAATGCTTTGAATCTTGAATCAATATGTTGTTTATGTTTTTGTGTAAAGTGACTTGACTTTTGATATTGACGTTAAATAATTATTAATCTCACAGAACTATGCCCGTCTATAGACTTTGGTCTGAACTAAAATCTCTGATTTTCTTCTTGGACTTTGGTCTGAACTAAAATCTCTGATTTTCTCCATGGACTTTGTGAAATTGTTGCGTTGACTGATGACCTTTTGACCTTCCTCTGTGTCCTTTCATCACTGTGAGTGTAAAGCGATGCTTTTGTCAATGGACATTTGTGAGGTTGGATGAATGAACTATATTTGGACTTAGTTTTTTTTTAAACAGATGAAGTCACAGGAGTCAAACTTCTGGAACCAGACTCTCCACAAACCGACTCTAAAACAATTCTGCACAAACGAGCAAACGTCCCGTGAGTCCACGTGACTAAAAGACACTTCAGCAGAATCTCCTCCAGCTGCGTCTCCAAACAAACAGCAGATATGAGTCCATTAAAGCAAAAGTACCAGGCAGCGTTTTCAGTGCCGTCAGCCAGAGTCTATGAATAGAACTGGTTTATTAGAGGAGACATATGGAGCGGCAGGCAGAGCTGCAGGTGCAGGAGGTGCAGAGAAGAAACCCAGAGGGAGGAGGCTCCTAACAAGCCTCCTCCACCTCCTCCTCCCAAAACTCTCACATCATCAGCAAATATTCATCCTCGTTCTCCCACTGTCATACACAAGTCTGTGAGGCCACACACCAAACCTCATGGAGAAAATCAGAGATTTTAGTTCAGACCAAAGTCCATGGAGAAAATCAGAGATTTTAGTTCAGACCAAAGTCCATGGAGAAAATCAGAGATTTTAGTTCAGACCAAAGTCCATGGAGAAAATCAGAGATTTTAGTTCAGACCAAAGTCCATGGAGAAAATCAGAGATTTTAGTTCAGACCAAAGTCCATGGAGAAAATCAGAGATTTTAGTTCAGACCAAAGTCCATGGAGAAAATCAGAGATTTTAGTTCAGACCAAAGTCCATGGAGAAAATCAGAGATTTTAGTTCAGACCAAAGTCCATGGAGAAAATCAGAGATTTTAGTTCAGACCAAAGTCCATGGAGAAAATCAGAGATTTTAGTTCAGACCAAAGTCCATGGAGAAAATCAGAGATTTTAGTTCAGACCAAAGTCCATGGAGAAAATCAGAGATTTTAGTTCAGACCAAAGTCCATGGAGAAAATCAGAGATTTTAGTTCAGACCAAAGTCCATGGACTGATCGGTTCCTCAGAGTAAATGTTGTCAACAATATACAGTATGTTTGTCCATCTGTTTGTCCTGTAATTGGCAGCTCCTCCTGCTTCAGGACAGCAGAGGGCGACGCTGCCAGAACCCGGTTGGCTCCAAAAGATCTCTGAATGTTCTGCTCTATTTAAAGCTCGCAGGAACATATGGTCCGTCAGCAGAACCACGGGTCATCTACTGCAGAGATAAACCCACTGAGGACAAATGGACAAAGGTTCAGGTCAGTGCTGGTCCAAAAACATCATCATCAACATCAACATGGTTCTACTGGAGTCCCCTTAGTCAGCAGGTCCGTGCAGAACCAAAAAGACCCAAAAGGTTCTGGACCATTGTTTCAGTTCCTTCACACAGTTCTGTTTGGTACCGACACCTGCAGTTCCTCCACAGAGGACCGTGTGGTCAGTTCATGGTACTGTTTGGTTCCTGGAGTTTGGAAGAATAAATGAAATCACTAAAGAAAACGGTTCTGAACGAATCACGTTCACGGCGTGTGTGTGTGTGTGTGTGTGTGTGTGTTTAATCACACTCCTGATTGACGTCATCAACTGCGTTTTGAAAAAGTCACGCTGCGATGCAACATGTCAGTGATCAGCATGTGTCGGGACCTTCAGGCGCGCGCACGCACATGCGTACAATGTACGCGCACCGACACACAGTTCCTTATTAACACACACACACACACACACACACAACCAGATCAGAACCAGAACATTCTTTATTCTGTGAATCCTCACCGTTTTCCTGGCAGTGATGCAGTTGAACCACTAGGCGGCGCCGTCGACGTCTTTTCTTTAAAGGTTTTAAACGATGACGAACAGAGAAAATCGGCGTTTCTGTGAGAAATGACCAGGAACGAACTCGTCAAATGAAACAGTATTTTCAGACCTGAAAACGTTACCGGAAGTTCGGTGGATTCATGGATTAAAGATTAGGATTAAAGATTAGGATTATTTCTACTGTGACCTTAACGTCAAACACGCAAAACATAACGTTTTATTTGCGTGACTGAATTATTTATTTCAACTGGATCAAAGTCTCGAGTCTCATTATTATTTGTCTTCGCTCTCTCCGTATTCTCCTGGTAAACAGGGCCACCTAGTGGCCAACTCTCGGAAACGACAACACAAAGTTGACAATTAACAATAAATGTTTTTTATGATAATAACGAAGCAGAGTTATCAATAATATTATTAATAACAACAACAACAATAATAACAGTAATTATTATAATAATAAAAGTCCCTTCAAAGACATTAAACAATCAATCTTTCATCTTTTTGTTTTTCCACCAGGTTTATTCGGAGCACAGATGCTAACAGGGTACAAGTTCAGTCAAAGTCAAATCACTGCACAGAAACACGTGACCTTTGACCTAAGAGTCCCAGCTGAAGATGAGGGAACCACGTCTGCTGAGGAGGAAAGTGGACCAGAGGACCAGTGGACCAGAGGACCAGAGGACAAGAGGACCAGAGGACCAGGGGGCCAGAGGACCAGAGGACCGGAGGCCCAGTGGACCAGTGGACCAGGGGACAAGTGGACCAGAGGACCAGAAGACCAGCGGACCAGAGGACCGGTGGACAAGTGGACCAGAGGACCAGAAGACCAGTGGACCAGAGAACCAGTGTACCAGAGGACCAGAGGATCAGAGGACCAGAGGACCCGCGGACCAGCGGACCAGAGGCCCAGCGGACCAGAGGACCAGAGGGCCAGTGGACCAGTGGACCAGGGGACAAGTGGACCAGAGGACCAGGGGACCGGTGGACCAGAGGACCAGAAGACCAGAGGACCAGAGGGCCAGTGGACCAGAGGGCCAGTGGACCAGAGGACCAGAGGACCAGAGGACAGGTCCACTGTCTCGTCCACAGTCGTGCCACATGTTCAGATACTGAACTGATTTTAAAATTAAAAGTTTTAAAAAAAAGTCGTTAAATTTGGTTTCAATTGTTTTTCTTGACAAATTCATTCCAAACCAGCGATAACTCAAATAAATCAAACTAAAACTCAAAGATTTGTCTGGTAAAAACTGATTCATTCATCATGATGATCTAAGGTAAAATTATAATTACATGTTGTATTTCTGATGAATTATTAACAAAAACAACAATAAAACAAAAAAATGAAGTTTAAAAAATAAACTGTATCAATAATTAATTTCATTGTTTTCATCATTAATGTGAAATAAAATATAATTAACTGTATTAATGAAATTTTAGATAAAAAATCCTCTAATTAAATATGTGAAAATATTATTATATATTTAGATATTTCAATCCTGAATTCAGAATACTGCTCTGGCGCCCCCTGGAGACGGTGATGAACCGTTTGTCAAAAGCTCTCCGTTGTTTTTATCTTTAGTGCAAATTTGTGCCAAACCTTTAAAGAAATGAATAAATGAATCATTCGTTCGTGAAACTAAAAACTTTCTTTTAGAGAAAACGTCGCTCACTCTGTAGAAATGATTCAAACGTGTCGACAGTTCGTGATAAAACATTTATTACTGATTCAAAGTCATTAAAAGTGATTCTTGATTATTTTGGCCTGTGATTAAAAACCACATTCAGCAGCTCAACGTTAGCGTTAGCATTAGCGTCAGACTCCGAGGAGAAGTTTCTCTTTAAATAACATCGACAACATTCACTCCCGGTTGTTTCCACACAAACTCACGTTGTTGACTTTTTTTTTCTTTTACCACGTGATAAAAGTTTAAAATACTCC